GCAGGACTATGGGCAGGTGAGTGTGTGGGCAGGACTATGGGCAGCACTTTGACCGGGAGCTTGGATTGACCTGCTGAAGCTGTTGCAGTGATGTGCCAGCGAAGTAAGGGTGTTGTGGGGAAAAGCCCTTTCACACAGTGAATAGTTGGGGTGCACTGCCTGGAAATAAGGTGGAGGCAGGTTTAATTAAAGCATTCAGGAGGGCATTGGATGATTATCTGAATAGAAATGGAGTGCAGGAATTTGGGGAAGATGCAGGAGGTTGGCACGAGGTAATAGAACCAGTGCAGGCACAATGGCCTCCTTCAGTGCTGTACCAACTCTGTAGGGGAGGCAATGGCCTAGTGGTATTATCGCTGTACTGTTAATCCAGAGGCCCCAGGTAACGTTCAGGTTTGAATCCCACCATGGCAGGTGGTGGAATTTGAATTCAATAAATATCTGGAATTAAGAATCTAATGATGACTGTGAATTCATTGTCGATTGTCAGGAAAAACCCATCTGGTTCACTGATGTCCTTTAGGGAAGGAAACTGCCATCCTTACCTGGTCTGGCTACATGTGACTCCAGACCCACAGCAATGTGGTTGACTCTTAACTGCCCTCTGGGCAATTAGGGGTGGGCAATAAATGCTGCCGAGCCAGTGACACTCTCATCCTGTTAATGGTAAAAAAAAAGGAAAAAAAAAATTGCATGCCCATGTGTTGCAGATTCCAGATTTTGAACCAGTGACAATTAAACAATAGAAATAATATTCCAAATCAGAGTGACTGGGAAGGGATCTTGTAAACAATAGTGGCCCACATCTTCCGGTCAGAGGTGAAATACCACCGGGGGCAAAGTTTCCCATCTGTTTTCAGCTAGGATTTCTGACCTTGCCTGAAGCAGAAAAGGTCCAACACAACCTATCCAGAGTGAGCACATTGAGCAAAGGACAGTTAAGGGAAGAAGAGAGCAATGCTGTCTTTTTACAGCATAAGCTGCTGTATTCAAATTATTAAAGGTATCACACCTTTTAAAGAATGATCGAGAGTTTGTAGTTGGGTTAGTTGGTTTGTGAGTGAATGGGTGGCCAATGAGTGGCTGGGTGAGTGATGAGTGAGTGATGAGTGGGTGAGTGAGTGAGCAGGACTATGGGCGGGTGAGTGAGTGAGCAGGACTATGGG